TCGATTCAAGCTGTTCTTCCCGCTTCCGTCACGATGATCGTTTGGGCTGATGTCACGACGTAACGCTTTACTTTCTTCAAAGCCGCCACCGACCTGGTCACGGTCACGATAGACGAAGTCTTCTTTCTGTTGAACTGGGCCATCAAAACGGCGGAAATGGTGTAATCCTTACCGTTTGGATGAAAAGTAAGAAAAGAGCGAATGTGGTCGGTATCTAAACGAAAGAAAACAAAAATTTTCGGTTGCTCACGTAGGTTATTCTATTTTGGTACACCAGTTCTTTGATGAATGCTCTCAGAAGTAACATAAACAGTGTTAAACACTGTGATTGGATGTAATAGGTGTGTTGAGACAAGGGGTCGTTTTTGGATGCGGAACAGCACGTACTACGGTGCTTTATTTTTTTTCCCGCGTTCCTTCTCTCGCACGTTTTTCGCTCCTTGCGCTTCCTTGGCGTTTACCCACGATTACTTTTAAAAAAGCTGCATATTGAGCAAGCTATACTTGAAGCCAGTTTCATGCTGTATGGCCAATTTCATGAACGCGAATTCCTTTCCAGTGATTTATTGGCGGGAATGATGTTTTTTTTTTCTAACGAGTTTAAAAATGCTTGTGTTTTCTCTCAATTGGTTATTCAACTGATTAACCGCAACAGACTAGAAATAACAAATTAAAAATCTTTCAAATATTTTATAAGTTACCTAATTTTGAGAGAGTATAATACGGAAATCCCCTGTTCTATGACCCATTTATGCATTAGTCCTTAATCAGTCAGAAGCGAGATATCTCTGAGTATCCGATGTCTGCTCTGAGATTTTCGATTGTTTCAGTGAAACATCATTTTGTTCACCAGAGGACTCGCGTTTAACGATGGGCACGAGTAACATTAATGATATCAAAAACGATGTCAAGGCAAAAGAGATCATACCCAAAAAGATTAAACATCTCGACCACTTACAAGTTGTTTTTTTTTCTAACTATATTTATCTGTGTCTACGGCTATCCTATCTTCTACTTCTTGGGAGGTATTAACGCTCTAACATTTTTCAAACTTTACAACCGGTTATTGAAACATAAGACTTTTTCTGGAAGAAAATGCCAAAATAAATTTACCTACCTTAACACGATTCAAAAGAAGAGTCTGCAACAGCTCTCCTTGATCCAAAAAAGCTTTAGAGACGGAATTTTTCATTGTGATTCTCAGCTCTTCGGTCGCCTTATGTACGTTTTCATTTTCAAAATCTATTCGACTCAAATTTCGAGGATTTTTTTTTAAGCGATTATTAGAGGAAATTCAACACTGTTCCTTTGCATTAAAACTTGCTCATCAGCATAAAACTCGGACTTCCAAGTAAGATAACTGTTTTTAGAATTACTCTTACATAAATTTCTGTTTCTCGAAAGTAAGGCAACATAAATTCAACGCAAACGATTAAATATCTATAACATTTTCTTTGAAATAACTGAGGCAAGCCCCTGTACTGACATTTAAATCATAACAAGGAGAAGAGCAGATAGACATAAGCTGAATTTAAGAAAAAATATGAGTGTTGATTTTGAAGAAATTTCTTCACTCTTCTTGTTCAAGACTGTGCACATGAGCAGTTAGTTTGATATAACTACAAATGGACTTCACCGATGCAATATATAACTGACTCTCTAATTTCTTAGAGGGAGGAAGACAAACTTCTGTTTGTTCAGGGATCACTAATTTATGTTCCATTTCCCCCAAATAACAATGAGTTTAATTATATCCTAGTTATGCCTTTCAGCAAAACAAAATAAGACGCCTCAACGCTCTCCTGACTTTATCTACCGGACATTTGTGCTCTTTCAGCAAAATAGCAATAAATAGGCATCATCAGCCATTGAATTTGCCTCTAAATCATATACGTATGATTAAGTCCAGGAGGAGTAGACCAAGCGGGCTACGAAATAAATTCCCGTAGTTTGCAACATCAGTTATTTCATCATAAGGTTTTCTAGACTGGGTTTTATTCAATTCTTAAAAGATAGGTTAGAAAGGAACTTGATCCTAAAGGAAACAAAGGAAGTTCTTTATCCAGATTTCTACAAGGAAAAAGCACCTGACGCTGTTACAAAATGACGTTTGTCATCGTTTACATTAAGTTTGTGTTTCAAGGATGTGTTACGACTACATATGTTTATAGAACACGCGGAAATGGGTTCACGGGTTGTGAAATTCCTTATTTCAGTTAATCCCATCGGGCTAAGTTACTAAAACCTCTGTAGTTTTCGAATACCAACAAATTTTTAAAAACGGATTTTACCATAAAAATTAACGTTAAAAAGCAACGACGTTTCGACTGCTCAACCGACATGTTCAAGTTGAAGGATAAAATTTTTTTCATGCATAATCAATTGTGAAAATGCTAACGAGAAACTGACTAAAACTCAAAATATTTACATAGATACAATACGAGAAAATTCTCTGTAGTTTTCCAACATTTATTGCACAACTTCCAGCCACAAAGAGTTCCGTGGTATCCAGCTAATTGTATGGTAGCAAGTAGAAATAGAACTAAACCATGATTTTGACGCTTCAGACGACTAAAGTATGGTTAAACAACTGGTCTGAGACTGCGTGCGAATCCATCGATTTTATCTAAGTGCTCTGTTTACAGCGAATGTCATCAGGCTATGTCATGTGGTATCTTGACCGGGAAAGTCGTAAAATAATTTTGAGAGTGAGAGGCACAAATTAGGGTTTTGTGAAGAGCAGGAAAAGAAAACAAAAGCTTCAAAAAATAATTTTTCGTTCTAATAACTCCCTAAAAAAAATACGCGACTTCAGTTCTTTATTATTAGATGTTTGCGAGGGAGATAATTGGTTAAGTTCAGTGGTTTATTAATTTACTTAAGTGTAGTTTATTTTCCCAAAAGAAAATGAAAGAAATTCCTAGTTACGAATATCCATGCGGAATAACAGTTTTAAGTGGCCTTAAAAGGCCATTAAGTGGTGATAATATTCATCGTGAAATACCTTGTTTATTTAACTCTATGCCCTTAATTGCATATGGATCAGGAGTAAGACCAATCATCAAGCGCGTGGTAATCAGCGTATTGTAAAGCCCGAAATAATATTATTTAGCTGTGGTTGTTACACTTCAAGCGGCTACAATTTGGTCCAAAAAAGGTTTAGATTCTTAGGGTTCGAGCCAATAGTAAAATAATTTTAGAATCCATTGATTTTTTCATGACGTTGATTCTTTGTTTCATATTTAGCCGAGTTGGCGGTAACAGGTTACGGAATTGTCCCGTTCTGTGTCATCCCGTTCTTTGTTGTATCGTTCTGTTTCACCCTCTTTGTTGTACCGTTCTGTGTCATCCCGTTCTTTGTTATCCCGTTCTGTGTCATCCCGTTCTGTGTCATCCCGTTCTTTGTTGTATCGTTCTGTGTCATCCCGTTCTTTGTTGTATCGTTCTGTGTCATCGTTCTGTGTCATCCTGTTCTTTGTTGTATCGTTCTGTGTCATCCCGTTCCTTTGTTCTTTGTTGTACCGTTCTGTGTCATCCTGTTCTTTGTTGTATCGTTCTGTGTCATCCCGTTCTTTGTTGTATCGTTCTGTGTCATCCCGTTCTTTTTGTTGTACCGTTCTGTGTCATCCCGTTGTTTTGTTGTGTCATCCGTTCTGTGTCATCTGTGTCATCCGTTCTTTGTTGTATCGTTCTGTGTCATCCCGTTCTTTGTTGTACCGTTCTGTGTCATCCCGTTCTTTGTTGTATCGTTCTGTGTCATCCCGTTCTTTGTTGTATCGTTCTGTGTCATCCCGTTCTTTGTTGTATCCGTTCTGTGTCATCCCGTTCTTTGTTGTACCGTTCTGTGTCATCCCGTTCTTTGTTGTATCGTTCTGTCATCCCGTTCTTTGTTCATCCGTTCATCCCGTTCTTTGTTGTATCGTTCTGTGTCATCCCGTTCTTTGTTGTATCGTTCTGTGTCATCCCGTTCTTTGTTGTATCGTTCTGTGTCATCCGTTCGTTCTTTGTCATATCGTTTATCGTGTGTCATCCGTTCCGTTCTTTCTGTGTCATCCCGTTCTTTGTTTTCTGTGTCATCCCGTTCTTTGTTTTATCGTTCTGTGTCATCCCGCTCTTTGTTGTACCGTTCTGTGTCATCCCGTTCTTTGTTGTACCGTTCTGTGTCATCCCGTTCTTTGTTGTATCGTTCTGTGTCATCCCGTTCTTTGTTGTATCGTTCTGTGTCATCCCGTTCTTTGTTGTACCGTTCTGTGTCATCCCGTTCTTTGTTGTATCGTTCTGTGTCATCCTGTTCTTTGTTGTATCGTTCTGTGTCATCCCGTTCTTTGTTGTATCGTTCTGTGTCATCCCGTTCTTTGTTGTACCGTTCTGTGTCATCCCGTTCTTTGTTGTATCGTTCTGTGTCATCCCGTTCTTTGTTGTATCGTTCTGTGTCATCCCGTTCTTTGTTGTATCGTTCTGTGTCATCCCGTTCTTTGTTGTACCGTTCTGTGTCATCCCGTTCTTTGTTGTACCGTTCTGTGTCATCCCGTTCTTTGTTGTATCGTTCTGTGTCATCCCGTTCTTTGTTGTATCGTTCTGTGTCATCCCGTTCTTTGTTGTACCGTTCTGTGTCCCGTTCTTTGTTGTATCGTTCTGTCTGTAATCAAAACTGTAACAAATTTGAGGAAATCCTCAACAGCCCGATTCGAGCACCGATAGGACAGTTTTTAGGAAGTTGTTGATCAATGGGTTTTGAGGTTTTATTGGTTCATGGGAGTGAGAAGAATGTTTTTGGGAGGGTGTTTGTCTTGTTCTTTGTTTTCTCTTAATTGTTCATGACCTCCCTGTTTTGTCTGGCTTTCTTCTTCTTTTTCTTTTATTTTTTAATCGAGGTTCAGTTCAAAAACCCACGATAAATAAGCACTTATTTGAATTAATTTTGTCGGGTCTAGAACAAAGACATAGCAGTCCTCAAATATTGAAACAAAAGATGAAAAGGTCTTAAAAACTAATTTCTTGATTTTCTCTCCGTCTTGTTTAAATCGTAAGTTTTCTTTCTTAAAATGTAACTGTTTACTGTGTTAGTATACATGACAAGCGTTGGTTCATAATCTAATTTCTCTTTTTAAGTCAGTTTTGAAATCAACGAAGGCAAGGTCTTCAATGGGCAAACTCACACATAAAATGCATATACATCAACACAAGTTTTCCCACTGTTGTTCTCTTCGTAACGATCCACCATATCCGGTCCGTACCAAATCTGCATCTCTTGATTGTTCGAAACAGACAGTGGATTGACGAGGGTACGAAAAACGAGCTCAGTTGAATTATGATGATATCCAGGAAGACTGTAAAAGTGGGGTTTTTCTTCTGGTCCTCCGAAATCCTTCAGGTCGTAAGCAGGCGGCAAGACAGGTTTCTTATCGACATCCGTGATGATTGTCGTCAAGTCTCCTTGGTATCGTGAATGAGTGCAACCCCAGTAGGATGCACCAGTCGTAGGGTTGCAGTGCACCGATCCTGACCTGTGAATAAGCTTCATTGTCTTCACTCGTCCACTTTTTGTCATGTTGAAGGCGCCATACTCGTTATCTTTGGCTCCAAAGCAGACAGGCACTTCACCATTTATTTTTTGCCAGCCCTCTGAAATAATGTAATACACTAATAATTTAGGTAGTGAATCTTGATAGTTTTATTTTATGTGGTTAATGGTAACTAAAAGTCATTTGCAAGATATGTTCCAGTGATAAAAGGGGTAACTGAATAATTAATTCAGTGATTGTCCAACTCATTGAACGATCAAAACAATTTCGTGTGAGGGAGAGAATAATTCATGTCTAATTCATTCATCCTTCTCCGGGTTTGTTTATATTTCAGCGTTATCACCAAAACAAAGCCATTATCATTGTTCCTAACCTTTTTGCAGAACACCGCGGCGAGATTAATATTTTAAAAAATACCTATGTCGGCATGTAACAACACATCAATTCACCTTTTGGGCTTTAGATTAGTAAACAAACCCCGAAAGTTCGGACATTGAGTCGAGCTCGCAGCACATGTGTCCAAACTTCGGCTTTGGAAATTTTTCTTAAATAACTTCCCACTTTCAAGAAGCGTCTCTTCGCTCAAAATTGACATATTTCTTTTGGCATTTATTTGATCGTTTATTAAGCAAGTTGTCATTTCGCTGCCGTTGAAGCAGATGCGAAGAATGTTACAGGAAGCGTTGCGGCATGGAATAATCGAACTAGTTCTGCGTACAGTGATGTATCTGATCAGGTGTTTTCAGGGTGTTTAGTGCGTAGATTGTCAGATAAATCCCCGTCCGACAGGAAATTAGTGCCCACGAATCGCTGTAGGACGTGAGGAAGCCTTCATTCCCAAAAATAAAACCGATTTCAACTCTATGAACGTGTACGATTGCAGTTGTTTAGTAAATGTATACCTAAACATAATGGTTACGACAAAGAGATGAGCTTATGGCACTTGAAAAACGATTCACGATACCTCGAGAAAAATTTCCAAGGCCGAAGTTTGGACACATGTGCTGCGAGCTCGACTCAATGTCTGAACTTTCGGGGTTTGTTTACATCAAAAGTCACGTGATACTACACGCGAAATATAAAGTCCAAAAGGTGAATTTAAGGAGGCAGTGGAGGGATGATTGAGTCCACCAATGTAGTAAAACAATTTACCTTTACAATAAGCCTCGATGACCTCGCCATTCTCTTCAAAGTAAATCCAGTGTATTCCGTCAATCATCTCTTCGCCTTCACTCGCTCTGATCTCACCGCAGGTATCCGCTGGAAGTTCTTTGATGGATCCGAGGGGAACTGCGTCGGTAAAAACGAATTACAAATAGGTAGTTTACACCATCATGCAATTCGATACCTCCTGATATGACTTGAGCATCTGATTTTTTTTGGCATGGAAATAACAAGGTAAAGAAGAAAGCTTCCCCCTTTGCTAACCATGTAAAAGCAGGAAGAAATGAAAACTGTGCTACAGTAATTCTATTTGATTATGAAGTAGTTAAGATGAAAGACAACAACAATGAAAGGTCTTTCAAGGTCTTCTACAGGTCCTTCATAGAAATATGTATCTTAAATTCTGTATACGCCTGAAATCTGAGGTTTTAGCAATTGTGATTGTAATATAACGGATTAAAATACTTCCATACTAAGAAACGAGTAGGCGAAACTACTAAACAAAAGTAAAGGGGTACCTCTATTGTGCGAGCGTTTCATATAATATCTCCTCTGATCCGGCATAAAATCTTCCGGTGTTGCTTCCTTTGTACGATTGTTCAGTTCACAGATCCTTTGAGCAATCACGAAATTGTAGCTCTGACACGTGACTTCTTCCTCACACCGGAAATAACACATTTCAGGCAACCCAACCGGATACGTCATAAATGTATGACCTCTGAGGAACATCCCATCAATAGAGTGTTCCCCTGCTTGACATTGGCTGCTGGCGTTGAGGATACCAATCGGAGACATCAGAAACATGATTACCAGCGACAACTTTGGAGTCATTGTCAGGTTCCACATGCTGCCCTTAAAATGACAAAGGTGAGCTATCACTTTGTTAGAGATTGCGACCGGTTACGAGGAGAGAATATTTTTTCAAAATGAAAACTTCTTGAACACACAAGGTAGGGGTGGTTGGATGGAGCAATAGCCGTTTAGAAAATGCACTCACATGTGCGCACTTGACCCATTGTATTTCTTAAAGCTTTAGAGTCATAGACATCACCTTTGAAATTTCCTAAACAGCTTATGAGGTGACATGTTAAGAAAGAGCCAGAATCATTTATTCGCTTAAAACTGGTTTGTTTCCGCATTTCAAATACTTATGAAATTAATTTTGGAGATGTTTTCCTACAATAACCCTCAGAAAGGTGTCGCTGATTTTCTGGAGAGGGTGCGCCTTTTTATTTCTTTTCCTTACACCCTCGTAAGGTTTGGTATTCTAGTTGCGATATTTCCTTATATAAAAGGGGCCTCAACCTTACAACCAAAGCGAAATGAGACAGAGGCTTGAAATACGTTTTCGCAAGTATCGTGCCGCTTTCCAGAAGACATGTTAAGTAGTTCACCTAAATGAGTTAATTTGACATATAGTAAGAACGAAAGCTAATTCTTGATAGGAAAGTTCTAGAGAAGTTAGTTTCCGTTATTCTAATGAAATATTACATCTTAATGCACATATTGCGATCATGATAGCTGGCGGTGAATTTCAATTAACATGAATGATGACAGGAACTTGTCAAAACGCAGCGAACATTTAATGGCATCCAAAAACAGGTTTTTCTCTCTTCATCTTAAAAGCGACAAATATTTTTGTACCCATTTTTTTTTACAAAATATTTGCCTAAGTTCTCGCCGATCGAACAGCGAAGAGACTATCTTCGCCCTTAAGATTTTTTTAAGTGAAGATCATCTATCATAATACCACCTGCTTCTCCTGTTCACCTAAAAGAAAACATACACTGCCTTGGGGCTCGTTTAGCTTTGTTGGAGAGATGAAAAGAGTTGTTTAAAGATTACCTACCAGTCCTAACAAAATGTGTGACTTATAAAACTATGCTGGGTCGTAATTTTAAGACACCTAGTCGAAGACAATTTTTATATGACTAATTTATCTTCTATCCGTTAGGTCCAATGACGGTTTCCCTTTATACAACGGTCAGTACTTATTTTCTCCAACAATTCTTATATACGAACTGTAGGAACTAAACCGGAATATCATTTTTAGAATCCTGCAAGAGAGTCTCAATGGGAGAGACCGTTAGCTTTAAAGCGGCACAGAAAACTTAGTGTTTAGACGTACAATTGACGAATTACAACCGTTGGTCGTGAAAAAGGTAACAGTAATATTTTTTCATTCAATCGCAATGGAGAAAAATTAAACGTTACCGTAAAATAGCCAGAAATTTTACGTGTTAGCCGTAAGAGTCATCACCTCATTAAAAGCTTTCTGTAATGAAAATCGCGTTCAGAGTCAGGGGACTTTTAGCTTGCCCAAATCCACTTCTATGATTATTTTGAGAATTTCTTCCGGCATCTTGAATTATCAGGTAACAAAGTATGCAGCTTTATCGGCTGTGTCATGGAAAAGCTTACTTAAAGACATAAAACAGGGAACTTTTCAAATGATCTTCAAAATGAAAAGACAATTTTACCTTACCTCAACGCACCTCAACTTCCTTACCTGAAGTGTAACTTTTAAGTTACTAGAGGGTTGCTCTTAGAATCGACAGGCGCTGTTATTTATTACCACTATTCGCCGAATGTCTAGCTGAGATAAACCTTGCGATGCTTTCATTTGAAAAAAAAAATTCCATATCTTAAAACTGTAAACCAGGCCAGCTGTTTCTACATAGAGCATTAAATGAAAAATAATTAAATGAATAAAGGCTTAACATGCGTTTTGAGCCCAAAAAGTGCTAAAAAAGTGTTTTTTTCCTCAGTTTTTTTTCGCTAATAGTCGTCGGCGTTTTTAAAATCCCTTCATCACTGTGCGTAGTTCATGCCTTCCGATCACCTTCGTTAACTTTGTAAGTCACGAAAGCGCGCAAGCATTACGATCGATCACCTTTAGACAACGCTTTAGGACAACTCGGCATCTATTCTCCATTCAGTTGTCACGGAAACCTAAAATCCTCAACTTAGAAGATAAACAAACGAAGTTTGAACAATCAATGGAGATCTTGATCAATTTTCAGAATTATGCAAACGATCTTTAACCGAACGCATTTGAGCAAACACATGAATTGGCGTTGTTTTTAAGATGTTGGATGAAATTAGAGATATACTCGCGGGTTTGAGGTAATCTTTGACCTCATTGGTGTATAAGCTATGCACTGATATGCTATTTTTTAGCCCAATTAACGCCTGCATCTTTCACTAAGATTCACACTTCCAAAGAAGGGAACCGGTCTTTTAAAACTTTCCACTTACACCGTTTAGATTAAATATGAGTTTACACACACAGAAACTGCCGAAGTTACATTTAGAATAAATATGGAAACCTCTTGTATGTGCACGCTAAGAGACTAGCACTTTTTACCTCATTGAAAACAACTGCTTTAAAAAAAGAGCCTTACCATCTTTCGTGCAACTGACGTGGCTACCATGACATTTTAAATAGGATCCCTTAAGCGTGTAAATTACCCACAAATGTGGGAACTAATGCATCATGGCTTCCACTAAGTTTAGAGACAGAAAAAAAAGCAAATCGACTGACCTGAAAAGGAAGTAGCGATTAATTTGAATCGATAGAATGTTTCAGCGAGAAACAAAATTACTAGAATTTACTCGGCAAATTTTAGTTATTGTCATATTTACCAATAGAATCAAGTATGTCACTCTTAACCATCTGTACTCACAAGTTAATTTAGCACTTCGAACTTCCTTAAATCGACAAGAAAAACTTTAAGCTTTTAGAAAAGCTGAATTTAAGCTATGAAAGGCCAAGATATCATCATCTGTGATCACGCTTTCGCAATCCTAAGTAACCCTGAAGAGTTGCTCTGTGAAAAGCTTCTCTAGAATGTGAGAACAAAAGCCCTTAAGAACCACCTGGTTTTACTCCAAACAAATATTAAAAGGAAGGTAAACGCAACTGAACGCCTGTGTCCTTCGGCCGATGGAAAAGACAACTGTGAGGAAACGAGAAAACGTAAGATCAAAATGCTTCGCTTCTTAGCTCAAGTGAGTATCAACTATTTGCCCTCTACTTGTTAATTTTTCTTTCGGTAGGTTTTTCAGTCGTCATTGTATAGGGAAATCGTTCAAAGTCTGAGGCACATATACGAAGGCTAAAAAAAAGGAACTTTTTTGTATGCAGTTTATAGGGGCTTCGCAACAATTTCATTGAATAAAAAACGAGTCCCTCACATTCTTGTTGTTATAACAAGTTTATATTTGAAGTTTAAAGATAAAGATGGACCAGTCTTTTCGCTTTACATATTTATGTTAATTAATGCCAATTTTTAAACTGTCAGGCACTAAAAATGCAAGGCTTAATCTATGGACGAAATTCCTAAAAAAAAACCTAATCACAAAACTCCTGGAACTATTGTTGACTTCTGTACACATTTTCGGTTGAAAACAAATTGCAACAACAATCAATCCTATGCAATAAATTTTTTCTTTATCATTTTTAATTCTCATAAGCGCACTTACCTTGACCGAGACAGGTGGTTCTGATTTCCCTTGTTCTTCAAGTTACCATGGTAACGGGAGATATAAGTAACGACGAGTTACTGTTGACCTGTGTTCCCGATGACGCCTTAGGTGACGAGCAAGTGGACGAAGATCTTCCCAGGAGAACGGGCGATAAAGAGCCAGGATTTCAAAATATATTCGGCTTAGCGAGTTGTTTAAAACACATTCGTCTTGTGTCAGATTAAGGTGACTGAAACTTGTATGCGAGGAGGTAAAACTTGTGGTCGATTGCTACCCATCCAGTCGTGTAGCTTGTCACAACAATTATGTCCGGTCATACGTTCCAGAAATGAGGACTACAACTTGTGGAGAGACAATCACTGTCGATTGAAAATGTGGGAAAAGATCCTAGAGAAATGTATTAATTCACCTGACTCTGCCGACTACATTGATAGCAATAATTGCCAAACTAGGAGGTGAGACCATTGGGACTCTGATGCATGTTTCATGCTGAGTATTTTCAAGTTTCAATGTTTGCGCAAGACCTTGCTTAAAAAGATTTTTAATTAAGAAAGTTTTTGCACAGGAACATTTTGTTCTACGACGAGATTTCGAAGTTATTTGCCATTACGTTATTTTCGTGTTCGAACCCCGACGAGTACAACTGCTTGTCCTGACTATTACACTCAACCAAGTAAATCGACGGAACTTCGTGCAATTTTCGGTGCATTCATCATCGTGAGTCACTGACGCGAGGTTAGTTCTCAATGGACTCGAGCACACTCAGATTACTTGACAAATTCGCATACCTGAGATTTACGCGCATTTTATTTACGTTCATTTTATTTACGTTATAATCGTTATGAAAATGAGCGCATTCGATGCACATACGAAGATGTTAATACAGTTTAATACTATTTAATACTATTTCCAGGTTTTCTAAATCTTTGCCATCACTTTGGTGGCCCTTCCTTTTCGTGATATACTTCTTACGTTTAAACGGTTCCCGCGTCATCTACACATACTGTTACTATTTCCAGATATTTTCACGTGGCAATCGATCTATCAACTTGCAGTCGTCACGTTTGTGTGAATTGGTAACCTAGTTGACGTTACTAGATGAATCGTTTTGCTTCATAGCTCCAGTCAACACACGCTGAGATTAATGAAACTTTGACCAATCGAGGCAAAATAAGAAAAGTTGTCCAGCTATTTAAAAACTGACACTAACTCCCCAACAAAAGGAACCCTAACTCATCTCAGTATATAATTTAAAAACTGCGAGGAAAGAAATATCACACTGCTGCACGGTTAAAAACTGCGAGGAAAGAAATATCACACTGCTGCACGGTTTTGTAAAGTTT